CGTGGCCAAAGCAGGAGACCTTAACCACGGTGGAGTTTTTTTTAACAAGCTTCCGCGGAGGGGCTGGTGATGCTGAAAAAAAAAAAAAAACGTTTTAGGGGTACAGTTTAGTATGCACTGAGCATGTCTGCAGGAACAGATTAAGCTTTAAAGGGAAGCAACAGGATGTAATTTCATAGATTTGTTTGATAGAAAGCTCTGAATGCAAACATGGGATAAGTGCAAAAAAAGATCTATCTCTATATTATACATACATACATACATACATATATATATATATATAAATGCAAAAACGTTCTAAAAATAAAAAATTCTTAAAATAAGTGTAATTACTCTTAATTTGAGTAGGAAAATAAGACGATCTGCTTATTTTTACTCTTAAAATTAGATAATTAGATATTATCCACTTGAAATAACAGGCTACAGGTGTTTTTCTTATTTTAAAAGTAAATTGTCTTATTCAATTGGCAAAGTCTCTCACCTGCTCAACTCAAGAAAAAAAATTCAGTTTTCTGAGAAAACTACTAACTTAGATGTATTTTTTTATGTGTGTGTATATATATATATATATATATATATATATATATATATATATATATATATATATATATATATATATATATATGTGTGTGTGTGTATATATATAATTCTGAGTAGCAACAGATACGCATTATTTTTATCGTTTAATTCACTAAAGGGTTAATTTTGCATGAAATAAAGTTTAGATTTTATTTTTTTATTTCAGTATTTGTTTGAAACGCTTTGATCATTTCTTTTTTTCATGCATTCGACTATTTCAAAGCTTAACACACACCTATTTCTGCTCCCGCTCTGCTTCCTCAGCCATAGGGCTTCCTGCTCTGCTGCTGCGTCTCTCATTTGTTTCGCATTGAGTTTTATGGAGACACTTTGGTCAAGGAGGAGCTGGCACTTGTAAGAGCATAGACGTTTTATGACACAAACCCACTGCCCCATGCCAAAACAATGAATTCTTCTCCACCCCCCACTGCCACAAGAGAATGTGATTTTTACTTGCAATCCGAGCCTGAAGTATGCGTGGACAGTGGTGGGGGGAGGGCTCTCTTCACCTTTCACCCCGCCGTGTTGGGACTGTTTGTATTTCCCCCTCTGTCCCTATGCTCCCTGAGTAAGCTAAATACTGATAAATGCGCTGTAAGGGGGGAAAACAAAGCATGGCAAGAGTGGGTTGGTTTCACCTTTCTGTATTCATTTCTGCTGCAAAACAACTGATAGAAAGAAGTCTGCATAGTTACCAAGATATCAGGGCAGGAATGCCCAACCATTTTTTTAAGGATGCACCCTTTTTGCATGCAACATATTGGTGATTTTAATCTTTAATTTTAAACAAAAGTCACAGGTATTTATCACACATGCCTCTGCCAAACATGGAAATTTTAGCAACACTGGATTTGCAGGAATGCATTTTATTTAAATGATAGCAGGTATGTACTTTTTTATATTTTATTTAATATAGTTAAATATTTCTTTAAGCCTGTGCAGATTCTCATCTGCAAGGTCTCTTCTATAATTTTAAATTTCCTTCCTTTTTTTCTGTGGCATGCATGAAAAGATAAGTATTACTAACTGCTTAATCCGAAAGGAAGCATGGCTTGAAACAAAAACATTGTTGTTTACAAGCAGAAGTCCTAATTTGTTAACATATATTAGGTCAATCTGTGAAAACAATCCCCTCAGACTCCCCAGGATTTATTCTACAATCCCCCCAACCACCCACCACCACCACACACACCCAACACAGGCGCAGAGACGCATAAAACCACTTTAAAATGCAATCCTTCCTTTTTTCCCCTTTTTGTCATTACTATAAATTATAGAATTAAAATCTGAGATGAGAAATGCATTATATTTGTACCATGCAAACGCAGGTCTGATTGTTGCTTCTTCCTCTGCAATCACTTCCATTTGCATACTCCACGTTTCCAATTTTCCCCCTGTAAAATTGTGTTACCCTTCTTGTAAGGATGCAGCTACAGCCACAATACAAGGTTTGTGAAACAACTTTTCTACAGTATAGAGGACAAAATGAATGAAGTGTACTGTAGCTTCAGAATTTTTAAGCATATATTATTTTTATTTTGCAAGGCTGGTTCATAATATTGCGTACTTTTCAAAAATAAAGTCTCCAGTTCACCACCTGTGACATATACCTATAAAAATCTGGTTACTGTATTTTCTCTCTGCTAAAGATTGTGATATGCATTGCTCTTTCCCTTGTTACCTAAATACATAAAATAAAGATTTTTAAAAAAGTAACATATTTTTATGTTTAAGTGTAGAATGGCTTAAATAAAAAAAAGCAAACTACCCATAAAGGACTTTCATAGTTAGGAATAAGATGGTGTCAATGTGCATTTCTGTCTGCAGAAAAGGCTTTCCTTTGACATCCTGAGCAGCATTATGGGTAATTTGTGCAGACTCTGACTTAATCAAAACCAAGTTGTAAAAATTGTTTACCATTTCCAGCATTCTCAGCAGCTATATGGGCCCTTCCACCATCACTGCCCCCTCCTTTCGCCTCCCTTTGTTCTCTCCAGCTCTAATAGGTTTTCCTCTGCCAAACACCATTCACTTTTTTTTTCTTCTTCTTCTTTTTTCACCCCCTGAGCCCCCCCACCCCCTTTTAGTGCAGGGTCCAGTGTCGACTGGAGCATTTGAGCAATTTGAAATTAAAGCAAACAATGGGCAGGCACTCCCAGGGACCTCTCGCTCACCATATTACACGGAGGACGCTCGTGTGCTCCTGCACATTACTGGCAAGTCATTACGTTTCTCTGGAAACCGAGCGCAAGAGCACGCTCAGAGGAGTCAGTGATGCAAGCAGCAGCTGAGTGCTTGGAATAGCGTGTGTGAGTGTGTGTGAGCATCCTTGGCAACAGCATGGAGAACTGTCAAAACAAAGCAGACCACTGACATGCTGATATTCAGCTACGCAATATATATGCTGATATTCAGCCCTAATATATATAAATATATATATATATATATATATACACTCACACACATGCTATTCAGAGGTCTGCTTAAAAATTAAAAATCATCTCACCAGACTATAACAGTATGGCGTCTTTCAGAGTTTTAGGTACGCTGCAAAGACAATCTCAAAATGAGTAAAAAATTCTTAAAATAACTATTTACCTGTATTTGAGCAGGTAAGTAAGATGATCTGCCAATGGAATGCGTATGATCAGCCTTAAAATAAGATGATTGGATATTTTGCTGCGGTTTCTTTTTCTTATTATATTCTTAATTGTCTTGCTCCGTTGCCAAAGTGTCTCACTTATCTGCTCAATTCAAGAAAAAAAAATACACTTGTGACTTAGATTTAATTTTTATCAGTGTTACAATTGGCTCAGCGGCTGGATCTCCGTGTTTTTTTTTCTTTCTTTTCTTTAGCTGCTTACTTGTAAATCAATAAGGAAATAATAGTTTGTTAGACGTTGGATATTTGCAATCAGAATTTTATTACAAGCATATCAATATTGGAAGGGTTTGACTTGAAGCAACCTGTGCTGAATATAACAAGTATTGCCAGTCAAAGTTGTTACACATGCTAGTGAGCTAGAAATATAAAACCTAACCCTAACCGTAAGATTGATAAACTAGTACTCTAAGGCTAAAACTAACATTAATAATTACTCAAGTGACTCTCAAAGCTTATGAAAGTACAAGCAGCAACAAGTATTTTAATGTCTTTAAGGTATTTTGATTACATTTGATTTTAATATCCTTGATGTTAATTAGAAAATGTGGCATGCTGACATAAACTCCCAGAGTAACAACTGTTTACCACATAAAAGTTACAGGGAGGTGATGTGCTTTATGTTTCAGCTCAAAGAATAAGCAAGAACTGATAATGATTTTGGGTGGCAAAAGTATTGACACTCTGAAAAAGTATCTATACTTAAAACCGGTATCTGGACACAATACTAATTTGAAATGATATTGATACAAAAAACAAATGTTTGCATATTTGCTGTTGTTAATTTTAGATTTATAGATTATTTGCACATAAAACAACACCCCAGGAATATTGTCATATTTTTTTGGTATTTATTTCGTATTTATTTGTACACTTATTTAGAAGAATCTAGAAGAATCTTTGATTCTGTTAAGAAAGCATGTTCCATTTTGAGACTGAAAAAGAATAAAATAGAAATTCCCTTTATTGTCCCACAATGGGGAAATTGTGGGAGCTTTACATGTTGATAAATATGTTTTTTAATGTGCTTAAGGATTTTGGAATTTTTATAAATTTTTAGTATTATACTAAGTATTTAGTATTATATTGGCTCACTCATGAAGTATAACATTTTTCACTTAAATGTTTTTGTTACGACGTAAATGAAAAAAAAAAAAAGAATATGAGTTTGTGATTGGGTAGGGAATGGTATTCACTGTGTGCTTTTTACATTAAAAGAGTTTTAAAAGTAAAAGTTAAAAAGTCTGAATAACAACATCAGGAAAACAATGTCCAGTGTGAGTAATTTGTTTAGTTGTAAAGTCAAATATTTTTCTTCCCTTTTTTCTTTTTTCCTTATCATATTTCCCTCAGAATCTAACGTGTTTACAGCTTCTTGTTCCTCTGCAGTTTTTTTTTTATTTAACAAAAACATTAATTGACATTTTCAAGTAGGAATCTCCACTTTTCTTTCTTACAAAAAAAAAAAAGAGAAAATGACAATTATATACAGGAAATCAACTTAACTTGTGCAAGGCAACAGAAATAAATAAATAAATAAATAAACAAATAAATAAATAAACAGGCAGTAATATGGAAACATACAAAACCTAAAAAAGAATTAAATAAAAATACAAGAGACAGACTCATTCTGTAACAACACAGTTCCTTGCGTTATGGTAACTTTTGTTGAGTGAAAAAAACAGAATTTTGACCTTTTTTGTATTCAGTTGAACTCTATGGAGTCTCCTTTCTACCTAAATCTCGTGAGACCAAAGCAGGAGCCGTTACTCGAGTCACGTCAATCACTCGTCGTGCTTCATGACGCATTTCCTGTTCCCTCAGAAGTCCCTCCCCCCCTCACATTCACCATCAAGCCCTGACGGCGATGTTTTGGTGAAAACAAAATAGTGCATCGAAAAAAGGATGTAAACACGTCTAAATCATGACATTTCGGTGGAGTGGGACTTAGAGCGGCGCTGCGTGCGAAACCGAGGACTTCTCCGAAGGCAGTGTTTATTTTCCTTTTTTTTTCCTTCTTCTTCGGTCGTTCCTTGTGTGTTCCTCCGCATGTCCGCTTTCCTCGTAGATGGTCTGCGGCGAGCGTTGTCTGAAGGCGGACGACAAGCTGTTGACGTGTAACATGAAGGAGATGATCGGCGGGTGCTGTGTGTGCTCTGACGAACGGGGCTGGGCGGAGAACCCGCTGGTATACTGCGACGGCCACGGATGCAACGTCGCCGTGCATCAAGGTGAGCTGCTAGCCAAGCTTAGCATTAGCCCCCCGTGCTAGTTAGCGTTCATATCGAAAGGTTACCTCCTCCTCCTCCTCCTCCTCCTCCTCTTCTTCTTCTGCCTGCTAAATGCCGAGGTCATACTCCATACATGCTGCTGCAGCTTCCCAGCTAGCTTAGCTTTGCACGTTGATGAGAGCTGACAGCATGAAGACGTTTCTGGCTCCGAGCCGTTGCCATTGTTTCCTTGTCAGAAGCTGTTATGAAAGATGGAGCGAGGGAGGAATAAAAGCCCCTTCTTACCATGTGTTAACCAAAGAGACCGGATGGAAATAAGGAAAGGATGATAATCTAAAGATGGATTAAACCTAGAAAGCTTAAAGCTAATGTATATGTTGTTTATTCCTGTGTAGCTCAAACACCCAAAACGCTTTGCATGCAGGGTGCCCCTGCACATGAGGGTGTCTAATGTTTACACATGTAGCAGCCAAACCATGTGCCCACTAGGTAAACACAGATAGGAGCTGCCAGAACAGCTGATCAGCTTTTCTGAAGCAGCATTGTTTCAGTAGCTGAAATCAAAAGTGTTTGAGGGGTTAATTAATGCAATTTAGTCATTATGCCTCAAACTAAATATGTCTAATAAAGAAGACTAATATAAAAACAAGTTTTTTATTGCTAGCACTAAGCAATGTTCCCTCTGAGGACCACTGAGCAACATCAGATCTGCATGCTGAGCCCCTACCAATAATACACTTGTTATAACCCCATTTTCATAGCAAGTTACATTGTTTATTTAAGGAAATGCTGCTTTCAGAGCATTCTGGATGCTGTTTTAATATGATTTGTTAAACTAGATCTTCTTTCACAATCAGTACTGGATGCTTGAAATTAGGGCTGCAACAATTAATCGGATTAATCGATTATTGAAATAATTGTCAACTAATTTAGTAATAGATTAATCGTTGACCACAGTAGAGAGACTGTAAAATATTTCTTTAGCTGTCAGTGTGACCCACTTAGAGCTATAATCATATAAATATTGTAAGAAAAAAAAAAAATAAAATATATATATAAATGATTTTGTCTGTCAGCATGCTCTATGCAGAACCCCTAGAGTGGAAAAGATTTAGTTTCACCTGGTTTAATTAAATAAAAAAAATCTTTTGCTATCCGATTATTAATCGATCAATTGAAAAAAAATGATCAAAAGATTAATCAGGTTGCAAAATAACCATTAGTTGCAGCCTTACTTGAAATGCAGGACAGATATCCACAAAGTGAGATCTCCTTTAGCTCGTCGCATCTAAGTGCTGAAGCCACCGTATTTAAATTTTGCTTATTGTTTGCGATTTTGCTTCATCGTGTACTTGAATTAAAAAAAAAAACAGTAACAAGGAGCATTGCGCTGCGCAGTGAACAGGACATTTGCTGAATTTTATTATTTTTTTATATTTAATGACACTCGCTTTGTATTATCCAAATACCACTCCTACACGTATAAATTATTATAAAACAGGTTTAATAGTGATATTTGGGATTGAACAGCTGATTTATTTAATAAAGCAGGTTTGCAAAGCCAGCCTCCAGCAGACTGGGGTCATCGGTGACAGATGAGATGCTATAAAATTACATAATAAAACAAACATATTCCCTGTTCATTTTATTTTTAATGTATTTAATTTAGTATGATAAATAGAAGTAAGAGTTATTAATTTTTCTATATTATGTAATCATTGTTGCTTTTCGAAGTTCATAACAAATGATTAACAGACTCAAAATGATACAAAAGAAATTTTACTGTTCTGTCTTGTGCACGAGCAGTGCACAGTTGAGGAAAGGCGCAGCTTAGTGAGAACATTGGTGCTCATTATTGTTTGGAGTGCTGTGTTCAAGCATCTGCTTGAATGGAAATTTGAGGAAAAAGTATGGTGGGAAACTAAAAATGTTTCATGGTAAAATAAAATCTCATTAAGATTTTGAAGCTAAGCCCACAGCAGAGCATACAGGAGTTTCATGATACCTTTTAGAAGCTTAAAACGCTGAGGTAAATATTGTACCTGAATTCACATTAAAAAATGTCAAAAGTTGTAATGAAGCATTAGAAACAAATCTAGACAGCCAAAAACACTTGATTTGACTTCTTGAACATATTTGACTTTTATTCAGCCAAAAGGTGACAGTGATGTCTTAAAATGCTTTTATTCTTTTACCACAAGTGCACAAATTTTTAATAGAACACAGACCTTCTTTGGTACAGAAGTAAGGTTTTTACTAATGATATTGTTTTTTTCTTAGACAGCTTTGCTGATTTTTATTTTATTTGTTTTTTAAATAAAACTAATCTTTTGGTGCATTGAACACTTTTTGTTGTATCAAAATCATGCCCTAGTTATGTTACTAATAGAAGCAATATAAAAATAACTAAAAATAATGTCCTGATTAAGCTTCTTTTTAGTGGGAAAGGTAACTTTCCCTAATAGAAGTTGGTTTTTAAAGGACGGTGAAAGCAGATGCATTATTGCCAATCAGGTGATCAGAGCAGAACAGTGAGTTTAATAGTAAATAAAACTTTTTAACAGTTTTCTTTTGATTAAACCAAATTAAAGAGGTCTATCTCACTTTTAGCTTTTCATTTTTTGTTTGTTTAGTTTCCTTTTTATTTTATTGCCAGTCCTAAAAATACATGGAGCAAGCTTGTCTCAGTAAACACAGTGATAGGCATGGGTCAAGCATACAAAAATATAAAACAATTTAAAACCTGCTAAAAGTTTCTCTTGATTTCTGCTGCTTGAAGTATTTTTAGTGAGCTAATAGAGAAATTTCTGGATTAATTAAACTATTTTTTTGGCAGTATGAAGCATAGAGACTGCAGCTCTGCTTCTGTCTATTTGTTTGGTGGGCACCACAGGTCAGATGGTGGAAAGAAGGCTGTATTGCTGTTGATGTCTTAATTCAAGCAGCATTATAAGTAATTATTGCTTTTCTGCTTTTGAATAATTCAGTTGGATGATCTGCGTTTTTGTATAATTTAACCTGTAAATACTGTAAAGCCAGTATGGCATTTTTTTCCTCAAGGTTACCACACTATTAATATAAACATCTCCCTGTGCAGTACTTCTTAATAAAGTCAGAAAAGGCTGAATCAGAAAAAAACAAACAAAAAACGACTAAATTGCTTAGGACTGATAAAAATCTTTTCAAATGGGGGCTGTTTTCTGGAGCCAACTGGGAAAATTATAGTTACACAGAAGAAAAAATCTTTTAAACCACAACATGATAACCCTGTCTTTTTTCTTTTTTTTTTTCTTTTTTTTTTAGGGTAATAGGAGTAGTATATGCAAAAACTGCTTTAAATCATATGAGTATGATTAAAATATCAGGAATATAATTGGTAAGATTGAGTCAAACCTCTGCAGAGAATACACTTATTTACCATTAAGCATGGAGGTTCTGAAAATGGTAGCAAGATGTTTAAAAAAAACATTTAACATGATCTATAGTTTTATTCAGGAGAAAGTATGGTAATCTCTTGTCCCTAATCTGTAAAAAATTAATTTATTATTTGTAATAATTGTTCTGTGCTGTTTTTAACTGTCTCATAACATCCGGTAGGTTTATTATTTTCACTGTTCTGCTACTCCTGATTAAAGAAAGGCCTCCAATTCTAGTTCGGTTTTGCCTAGCAACATATAAATCTGCCAAGCCCTTAAGTGATTGGATGAGCTGTTGGTGTTCGCAAGATTTCGGATTATAGCTTTTCGTCCCAGTGGATTATGGGCTCTGGCCACATCAGAGATAATCTTGAAATGTGTAGGGCTAGGCTATTTAAGGTGGTATTGCAGTATTTAGAGCAGGTGGATCTGAATGTTTGCCAGCACAATTCAGATGCGAATACTGCACTGTTGGGTTCATGCTTATGTGCCAAAAAAGGGAGATTTCAGTGTAACATGTGGAACGGGTTAAAGTAAGAGCTGAGTAGGGGCTAGATGTTTGTGTTTCTGCATAGAAGCTGATGATGCTAACTTAAATGCTTGAGATCTGGATGTTTTTTTTTATTTTCTCTGACCTTCAGTTTTTGTTTAGCAACTAAGCAGTTTCACTGAAAGCTGTTATGTGAACGGTATTAAAATATTTTTCGACTTTAAGGAGCTTCAAAATAAAGCACAGACATGATTTAGAAGTGAAGTGTTTATTTAAAGAGCAAATAAACTCAAAATCGTTCTCATAAAACAAGGCAAGTCGATTAAATTTGAGCAATTTGAACTGCCAACTTTTTATTTAGATGTACTACTGCCTTTCCTGTGTGTTTAAAAAAAAAAATTCTTGTTTTGATGTTTGATTATCTTTCTTTTTTGCCCACCCAGCCTGCTATGGAATTGTTCAGGTGCCGACTGGTCCATGGTTCTGCAGAAAGTGTGAATCCCAAGAGAGAGCGGCCCGTGTGGTGAGTGATTCAATTCCTTCATCCCGTGTTTTTAAATGATCTTGGTGCTCTAAACTATGCCCTGTTTTGCGATCGTTTTTTAAGCACATTTACTAAAGTTTTTTTAACAAGATGTCCGTCACATGCCTTCATCCTCCTACATCCAGACCAAAGCTCTATTTAGCAGCTCTTATCATAGGCTGCTGTTAGAGGGTGGGGTTAGCTTTTTCACTCTATTCCACCACTCTTATCAGTGTGGGGTGTCACTATTTTGTTCTCAAAAACGTAGGTTTGGAATTGATTATTTGAAAATTCCTTTGCTGATTGGTAAAATGTTATTTTCCAGTCATTTTGTTTCCACCAGCTCACTTAAACAGCATTATTCACTGCTGTTTAAAAAGCTATGCTGCAGCACTGCGCTTTGATAACAGGTTCTGCAGCAAATGTCCTTTGTTAGAGCACGCTGTGAAGACTTTCCTGGCATAGTTTTATGCCAACTGTCAAGCACTGCGGTGGGGGCATGGTGATGTGGTGATTAAAGTTTTTTATATAGCGAATTGGCCCCGAGGTAAATGTAATGTACAACAGAACGATTGGTTAAAAAAAAAAAAAAACTTGGATGAGGTTTTCTCCCAAGTTAAAGTCTCAGACCTGAACAAGCTGCAGCAAACTTAACGAACTGGAGGCAATAGTAATCTAAGGTTGTATATCCCCAAATGTATTTGTTAATTGCATGTCTGCTTATGTGCGTGAAGCTCTTTATCAAAATAAATTCCTTGTTGGTGTAGAAATTCTGCCTGGTAATGAAGCGTTTCTGATTCTGAAAAGCAAAAGAAGCGGTTGGCATAACTAACCTTTGCCGTTACGAAACAGGCCAATCTGGTTGTACTGAAATATACAGTATAAGGCTCCGGTAGTATGTAAGGCGTTATCTGATTATTTTTTTAAATTGCAGTAGAGTTACTAATTTCCAGGTCTTTATTAGTTATCATGACAAAAATATAAAACTGTACCTTGATACACGTACTTTAACTGCAGATAGCAGATATTGTTATCCCCTATATATTCACCTCAGCAGAGGTTGCTCATTTTACTCCATTTGTTTTTTTTTTTCTTTGTGGTTTTCCTCCTAATCTACTGTAATCTATTCATGCCTATTGGAAGAAACTGTGACTATGTGGCTCTATTCCATCAGCACATTGCTCACGTATTTTGGTTTTTAAATCCAAATATCTCATGGGAGTCCGCTTGTTGTATTTCAACATAAGTACGCAATACAATAAGAGTGTCAGAAAATAGTTTTCACTTATTTTAAATTGCTTTCAAGATCACTGCTCTCTATGATTGTTAATTTATGTAATTTTATTATTTGGATATTCAGGTGAGTTTCTGTGTAGAGATGGATAAATACCGTTCAATATTTTTTTTTTTTTGTAATCCTTTTTGTCTGCTGAAACGTGTTTTCCTTGATTCATTAATTTTTTCCACAGTCATGCTCTGAGATCACAAACTGTGTGTGTATTGCTGATCCCTCCATTCAACACTCATTGTTAATGTTCTGTACGATTTGTTAACCGAGCTTGGCCTG